TGCCATGGGGGCCGGGCTCGGTGGCTCAGCCTGTAATCCCAGCACTTTGGGAGGCCGAGCCGAGTGGATTGCCTGATCCCACGGGTTCGAGACCCACCGGGAAAATTGGCGAGACCTTATCTCTACAATAAATAAAATATCAGCCGGGCATGGTAGTGCACATCTGTAGTTCCGGCTGCTTGGAAGGCTGAGGAGGAAGGATCCCTGGAGCCCAGCAGGCCAAGGCTGAGGTGGCCAGGAGCCTGCCACTGCACTCCAGTCTGGGCGCAGAGTGAGACTCCAACTCAAAATAAAATAAGATAAAATAAAATAATAAAATAAAATAAAAGATTGCCATGGGAATGTTTACTCTTTACTGTTTTCAGTTAAAACGAAAGAGAAAACATTCCAGGCCAAATATAGATAAGGATATGACCAGGATAAAGGGTATTTCATGAGGAGATCAAGACCAGAAGGGGGACTTAGCTAGGGAATAGAGCCGACCCATGATGAGGCTAAAATAAGTAGAAGCAGAGTATTTGGATTGACAGACCTTGCTTAATTTCTATCCTAATCTTAACTGAAGTCTTTAAAATATAGCCTGGGTTATTGAATCATTTATTCAGATGGTTATGTGATATCCATAGAATGTTTCCTTTTTTAAGCTTGTATTCAAGTCATGATCATATGCATATGATGCTAAAATGGAAATGACCCTTCTCCATACACCTTATCTTTCTGGAAAACTCCACATTAGTCTTTACGACTCAGCTGAGGTCAAACATCATCTCCTCTGCATAGCTCTCTGTGAATCTGCCTTCAAATAGAGTTAGCTGCTTCTTCCTCTGTGACTTTTCCCCCCTTAAAGGTGTATGTTCGTCTCATAGATGAGGAGGGACAACCCCCCCAAAAAAACCAGGACTTATCTTTTGGAGGGCAGGCCTCTTATAGTACAGACTTCCCTCACTATGTATGTGTTCTAGGAACCCATCGGCATCAATGTACCAGCTAGCATTGTTTGTGAGAGGCTGCATTTAGCCTCAGTGAATTTTTTTTTTTGAGAGTCTTTCAACGCATTTGCCCATTTCATGGTGGGTGATGTATGAGTGTACCTGCCCACACCACACTGAGTGTTCAGCAGTTTTTGACCAAAAATGGCATTACTCGCATGGCCCCCTCTCCCTGTTCTCCTGATCTCTCCCCGAGTGATGATTTTTGGTTTCCCTGGATTAAAAACGTCCTCAAAAGGAAACATTTTGTTGATGAGGAAGAAGTGAAACAAAAAACAGCAGAAGCACTAAATGGCACCAGAATTGGTGAGTTCAAAAACTGTTTTGAGCAGTGAACAAGCATCTTGATAGGTGTATCGCATCAAATGGAGAGTACTTTGAAGGTGACTGAAGTTTAAACCTATAAGAATAAATACACAATTTTTTATAAACAAATTTGGGGCTTTTTTGGGGTTCCCCTTTGTATTTCAGAAAAAGGTACAATGACCCCATTTGGTGATGACTGGATATGGGGGATGAGGCAGAGGGAGGTGTCAAGGATGACTGATAACGGCATTTACTGAGACAGAAAACACTGGAAGAGAGCCAGGCATGTGTGTGTATTGTCGTTGCTAGTGTTGATTCCGAGGGAAGGATGGTTGGAAGTGAGCAGAAGACCACGCATTTACCCTTCAACATGTTGAGTTTGAGGGTCTCTTGGGATCTCAAAATGGACATGACATTTAGTCTGCAGCTTAGAGGAGAAGTCTGAGCTGGAGATATCAATCTATCATATCAAAGTCTGAATGTACTAAATCTGCTACGTTGGAAGATGTTCAGAAGGTCAAGAGCCTGAGCATCCTTTAGAGCTGAGTGGCTATCCCTGCGGCCAGGCGGCTATGTGAATCTTGGGAAGAAGAAAACCACACTCCATTTCACTCTAGTGGACTGTTTATTTAACAAACATTTACGAAGTGTCTAAATGGAACAGTAACTATAGAGGCACTGACTGTGCAAAGAAGAATAAGGTACAATTGTCACAGTGGTGAACAAACAGTCTAGTGGAACAGATGGACAGTAAAGCACATCATCCTAGTTTGTTGTGAAAAGAGCTATGCTTCTTTTCTTTTCTTTTTTTTTTTTTTTTT